GGAAGAAATGTACCCTGGTTATAATGTTGTCATCAGTGAAAATGATCTTAAAGATACTTTGACAGTACATCTCTACAAAGACACACTTTGGGATTTCCGAGGTGAGGTTTTTGGTGATAGTGTGCCATTCACTTTTTGGGTTCATTCATGTTTTTTTCGTGTGGTTATTTGTGGTTTTTACACGTTTTCTGTTTATTTGGGTGCACAGCTTTGGTTGGCCAGCGGTGGAACTGGTGCAATGGGTAGGCGTTGTTTGCACAACGTTGTTGAAGAACTCCAGATGACCTGCTCACTTCCAGCAACGCCCACCTCAACCGATGTTAAAATAACAGATTTTTGGGTCCAAAGATTAAAAAAAAAAGAAAAAATAATTGTCTTAAATGTTGAATCATGCTGAAGATGATAAATTACAGGCTGGCGTTGTGATCCCTGCTGATTTATTTTCTGAGTCGTGTAAATCGACAACGACAGCAGTCGATGATATAAAAATGAAGCTTTGCTCCGACACATCATCGTTCAGTTTTGCTCTGCCAGCAAACCCAACCATGCATTTGGGAAATAATCTCCTGATTGTCATATTTTCCCATCTGATCTGCTGGCTGGTGTTAAGGAATACAAGCATTTTTAACCCTTCCTTCTTAAAAGCTTCAGTTTATGATTGACTCCAGGAGCATCTTATTCAGTTAATCAGACTCATCTGTTCATTGTTCCACCATCCAGTCCTCCTAGTAAATACACTCATTTTTATTCTTCCTTTGCTTGATTCACTTGTTGGTTTCCATGGTCACTGTGCCTGTTTGTTGAAGATTTCTTTAAATTTGTACTTGTCTCATAATCCTGCCTGTTTCTAGATCCCAACAGCTTTAAAATTTCACTTGCAGAGCACAAATAATCTCTGTTTAGTATAAATCCAGATTAGCTGATTCTGGAAGATCAATCCAAGTTTTTGCAAACACAATTTTAAGAACTTTCAGACAATCGCCATGCTTGTGTCATAGAGTTAGTACGCCAGCCGATGATTATTTTTTGCAGAAAATGCAGGCAGGAGGCAGCGTGGTGCTGACGATCTTCCTTCGTAAAATATACGAGAAACACTTTTACCTCAAATAAATCAAATGTGGGGCACAAAACAGATGTTGACAACTGTGCTGATAAAAATGAATAAAAATAACCATTAATAAAACCAGAAAAATTACTGAAAAAAGCGTTTCACCCAAAAAAATCGACTGATGGTTCATCACCTCCAAACTCCTTCTACTGTGAAAATATTCATTGATTTGTCCGTAGATACTCGTCCAATGGGATCTTGACATGTTTAAGGTAAGGTACGGTCATTTTATTTGTAGAGCACATTTTCAGCAACAAGGCAAATCAAAGTGCTTAATACGAAGTGTTTAATATTTAGGAAGGACAGAAGTTGTTTTTTTTTTTTTTTAAGATTGTAGAAATCGGGTTTGTCCTTGCCCTCTCTCAGACCAGCCATAAGCTTCTGCCGCTGCGGTCAGGCCCCAAACAAGTTGGAGGCTTTAACCTCCAACTTGTTTGGATCTTTTGAGTAAACTACTGCAGCTGACAGAACCTCACTTCAAAAAAACAAAACAAAAAAAAAAAAACCTGAACTATCCGCCTTTCTAGACTTACACCCTATTAACATTGTGAAAGTATGGCAATTTTTTAAATCCAATTTTTTGTTTCCCCTGTGAAACAAAATCAAAATACATTTTGATGTGTTTTTTTAAATACAAAATACATCAAAAATACTGATCCAGTGACAGGAGACAGGTTATGCAAACAACAAAACAAAAAATATGAGGAAAGTCCCTCCAGAAACCTGACTTTGGTTTCAATAAACAAGCCCGCAGGCGTGTGTGTGTGTGTGTGTGTGTGTGTGTGCACTAGTATGAGGCTGGAGGAGGGATGGGCGTCAGTGTGTAACCCACTTTTAGCATGGCTACGTGAATCATAAACACTGAGTACTGCAAGCGGCGGCCTCTTTGCAGTAAAGCGACTAACGAGCAGGAGAAACACGCCTTAAATTACACGCAGACCAAAAACCTCTGGCTCTGCTCTTCTCCTTGCGGTTGAGTGTATTAGCAGGTCATCACAACAACAAACGCTGCAATCAGACAAATGGAAAAACGCGAGTACGTGAGCTGTTGATGGAAATTAGACGGGACAGAAGGGAGGAAACATTTTCCACGAGCGCGATTTACTTTTTAATTGATTTTTTTAAATTCACTGTAGCAAACCCACATGATTCTTAATGGGCCACTAGGGTTGTACTCAGCAGAAAAATACAAGCTCATATACAACCTCTTAGACGTATAAATATATGTATAAAAACAAAAAGTATGCAAAATGCCAGTTGTTCTTTCTTTCTTCTTTTTTCGCTTATTGTTATTTTGCAGGCAGTTCATGTGTCTCCTCTGCCCTTCCTCAGAGTTCCCGCCTGCTCGATCACCGTGGTCAGCTGCTGGTAAAGCCTCTGCACGTCTCTCGCCATGACAACCAGAGAGCCTCTTATCATGTCCAGGTCCACCTGTGAGGACAAATCCTGCTCCTCCAGCTCGGACGGGAATGAATTCAGCCCCGAGCTAAACGCTCTGCCCGAACCTCCAGGCCTCTGAGTCGCCTGGTGTCCACTCCTGCTCCTACTGCTGCTGCTTTCTGACGCGGCCTCCTCGAGGCGACTCAGTCGAGCCTCGTCCTCGCGTCTGCCGCGCAGGATCGCCTGCAAGGTGGCGTTTATTCTCCCCTCCATCTCCGCCCCGTCCCGGCGGAGCTCCGCCAGGCCGCGGTGCAGCCCGAGAGCCTCGCGTTCCGCCTGCGCCCTGCACGCTGACCCCGGGCTGGGCGAGCTCTGCTGCGACGCCCCCCTGAGGAGCTTCTCCAGCTGGCTCCTCAGAGACGCCGTTCCTCCGCAGCACCGCTCCACCGACTCCTGCAGCATGTTCTGCCTCATGTGGGAGTCCTCCAGAGCGATGAAAAGCTTGTCCCAGTGGGAGAGGTCTGCATGGTACGGTGTGTTGGATGACTCTGGAAAACACAGGAGGATTTAATTGTACAGCTCTATGAAGGTTATAGATTAAGAAAGAGAAACTTCGTATTAGAAAAGGTGTTACGTACTTTGTGAGCTCCCAAACCTACCACCCATCGCCACGACAACAGTGGCTTGATGGTGAACGTGGACGAAACATTTTGTGAACACAGGAATTTGCTTCTGAAAGTGTTAATTTCCTTGAAATGTCTCGTGTTTCGTCTGATCTCAACCACAAAGCTTAACGTTATCTTTGGGGTTTTTCTGAAAGATCATCATTAACTAGAGTGGAAGGTCATGACTTTTCCTTCCTCCATCCAGGTCAGGACTTGTATGGGTATCTCGGGTCAGGTAGCATATCCGCAGACCCCACACATCCTGGATACGAACTGTTTAGACTTTTACCTTCGGGGCAGCGCTATTAGCAAAAAACCAAACAAACAAACAAACAAAAAAAAAACAAAAAAAACAACCACTGCAAAAACAGGTTGCAGTGGTTTTATTTGGGTCAGAGTGCCCAAATAAACACCACGCATATTTCCACTGATTAAACCTTCTCTTTCTATTTAGAAAAAAAAAAAAAACACAATATATGTAAATATTTACAAGAAAGAAAAAGCAATAGATTTGTCAAATTAGGCAAAGGGCATATATATTTTAATTATATTTATATAACATATTTTCAGTAACAAGGCAATACAAAGTGCTTTACATGAATTTAATACAAACAAAAATAACAAACCAAAGAAAAGAGCAAAAGAAGAAGGAAAATAATGAATTTAATAATGTTTATCCAGAGTATATAAACTAGATACTCCTATTCAGGGCTGCTAGATAAGTAGAAGTAAGTATTCTCCGGACTTTCTAACTATGCTCTAAACTGGTAAAAGTAATGAGTACTCCACCGTACTCCATATATGCCGAATTTGAACATATTAGAGCAAAGCCTAAAATGTAACATCACTGACCAGACCTTTTTAGATGAATGAAGTTATCATGAAGTTAATTGAAAAGTTGAAAAGATGCAAGTGAACTCTACAGTTCATCTAAAAACACACACACACACACACAATAGTACATATTCAGAAATCAACTAAAGCATTTGTATCTTAATTAAATCCAAATAGGCGACGCCGTGTTGTCAAGGAGACGTGATAATTCTCCAGTCTGTCCAGTCAAAACAGGCAACAGGAAAAATAATCAAAGCTGAACTCACCCTGCTGTTGGTCCAGAGAAATCTCGTTGCCGTAGCCGTCTGCAAAGCCGTCATCGTCCTCGATCTCATTCACACATATAGACGAACCAGCAGCGCTGAGCACACAGAGCACACCCCAGATCCTAAACACATGCATGACAGGGCTCCGACTCCTCTTCTTCTACTGTGTTGATGTGTTTTTTTTTGTGTGTGTGTGTGTGTGTGTGAATTTTATTTAGATTTAATGAAGCTACTCCTGTTTTCTTATTTAGCCCCCCTCCCTTTGTGTAAAGCTCTGCTCAGTGAGCCAACTGTTGCCGTTTCTGACTTATAAACTCAGCAAGAGGGAAGAAGGAGGGAGAGCCCCGAGGAGGGTGTGTGGAGAGTGGGTGAGTAATGCTTCCATGGAGGTGAAGTCAAAAGTCACGCTGACATGGAAATGTGGGCACTATGGAGAATAAGGGTGGACGTGAGAGGGAACACGGGCAACCCGGGGTAAACTAAACGGGACGGAGGGAAGTAAAGCAGGAGAAGCAATTTCCAACTTTTTATTTTAGCAAAAGAAAACAGGAAAATTAGCAGAAAAAAGTAACTTGTTCCTCCAGACTGCAAGTGACATTGTTTTGGAAGAACTCCTGCCAAATTCATGATCGGAATGTGGATGGAGCTAAAAATGAGGGTGATGGCAAGGAGGTCTTCATCAGCAAAACTAGATTGCTAAATTATATGAGGAGGGTTTAGTTTGTGAATAGTCAATAAAAATATTTTCTGCCAATTACTGAGAAGAACATTAATAGTTTTCATGCGGTCTTTCAAAGACAATGTAAATCCCACCAAATGTAAATGTGGGATTTACATTTGCAGCTCTCTTTCTTTGCAATTCGTTTTTTTTAAACATTGCTTTATTGTCTTTCAAGAGACGCCTGTTCTATTGCCAATTGGTAACAAACTACTTTGTAAAATGAGGAATTAATTTTTAATATAAATACAGTCTGGGGTCTGATAACCTTTGGTTTGACTGTGTGATTTTGGTCAAATAACCTAACAAAACCGTAAATTTTGTTTTTAAATAAATAAATGAATGAATCTGAAGTTAACCTTACTAACTTGGAGTCAGCAATGCATCTGTAATGTTATTCGTTTTCTGTCTATATTTGAAGTGTTGCTGTCGTTCTCACTGACTAACCCGTTTTCTTCACAAGTGTTAAAAGAAAAAAAAAGTTCTGCTATTATCGTAGTTTTTTATTTCAAATTGGTAAAAATCTATCTTAATTTCAATCTAAAGACACAGCAAAGTGGATTTCTCTACTTTAAAGAAAACAGTGTGCTATTAAAAACTCAACTGATTCGAAACTTATCTTATTTTTCTCATGCAAAAATAAAAAAAATTAAAAATTCCTCCAAGAAGTAAGAATCCACATTTAGCTCTTTCTGTGTATTTTAAGCTCCTCAAATAGAAAACTGCAGCACGTCATCGTCACGGTTTTATTATTCTAGGCTTTCAGAAACTTTGTCTTCGCTACTTTTAATTAAGTATTGTTGCTAAGCTGCAGGTTTAAAACTTTATTTCTGGCTTCTATTACTTTTAGCTCGGTTGCCCGGCGACCACGTTGATCAACCCTGCGAGAGCCGATTATTTACTGAATTCTATGCGAGGCCCGCCGGTACCGGCCTTGATCTTGCAGCTCAGCAGGTGCCGCGTGTTCAGCTGCAGGAGCAGGACGAAGGGAAATGCCCTGACCTTTCTCTCCCAGCTGACCCCTGCAGCCTGTTCTTTGTGCTGCACACGTCAGCACGCGTGTCTGATCTCCTCGGTCTGGCAGTCTGGGGTAGAGGGAGAAACCCGGGACGACGCTGGCAGATTTATCTGAGGAAAATGGACAACCTGCAGGAAGAGGTGGACGAAACAGGCTGGAAAACACGAAAAAAAAAAAATTTCCATGGCACAACATGAGAAAAATGTGAATTTTCCCAAACTCCTGCCATTGCATACATGCAGCTCTTTTTATCTAGTCTGAGTTAACAAGATTACACACACACACACACACACACACACACACACACGTTCAGAGCTATAGTGAAATAATTTGAGTCAATTCAGATTCATGGCCTAGTCAAAGTGCACATCCATCGTCCAGTCTGACTGATCTTTATTTGTGGAAAGCAGTGAAACCATTTGACTGTCTTCCAGTTCACAATTATGCGCCGCCGTGTCATTCGTACGCAAACGTTCGTATGAGCCGTTTTCTACCAGACCAGCAAATTATTCTGAGCCACAAGAATCACATTTATCCTCAACCGCCAGACGCTCACCGCCCTCCACCTGCGTGCCGCACCTACAGTTCAGCTGGAAGCTCTTCCCACATGGCAACCAGCAGGAAAAAATAGACAAGTGAAAGAGATAGAGAGGAAAAAAAAGTGGAGAGGACAATTAAAAGATACAATAACAGTAAAATGTTTTTCTGTAAGTACCTCCTTGTTTGTTTTTTTTAATATTTCAGAGCAGGAGGGGAGTTTGAAGAAAACAGATGTGTTTTTTTTTCTGACAAAGTAGGACAATAGGAGTTGTCAGGCAGAACTCACAGCAGATGTAAACCATCAACAGGACCTCACTGGCGAACAAAACCGCGTGCTAACACGACAAACTGAGCCAGCACAGGCCATTTACTGTGCGGTATTTTTCTTTTTGGGTGTTTCCCCGCTCGTCCCCCTGTGTGTAGGACGGGGAGGGACGGAAACAATAAAGATACTGTTAAAACGCAGCCTGCTAATGGAAAGTGGGGTAAGCAAGGTCTAAATCTGCTGAAATGACTCAGTTCTTGACCTGGTGACGGTAACAGTCGCAACAAAGCAGAGTCGGGCACGATTGAATGGGAGTCCAAATATAACATTTGTATATATATATATATATATATATATATATATATATAAAGTGCGTCTGTATCGAGAAAAACTTTCTCTCATTGGTGAAATACGGACTGCATTGACACAGCTTCGCTCTTTACTGTAAAAAAAAAAAAGAAAAAAAAAAGTGTATGTACATGTGAAGAATGTCTCCAAATATGATTTCTTATTTACATAATTATAACAAATTGTGTTAACTGGAAGGCGACACAAATCCAATGACTGCAGCAAGTTGACACACTCTTATAAATGATACTTCATTGAAGAAACTTTTTAAGTTTTGGCAAACTTTCCATTTGGATTTTGAACTTTGTCAGTCCGTATCATAGATCTCGGGTTGGTGTTTTTAGACCTTGCTTGGGAATTTTCATTAGAATGACTGTTTCATTTCTACTCAGTTTTAATCTAAGGAGAGTACAACAGGATGTTGCCACATTGAAGAACACAATTAATCTTTGTTGGAAACTTTTTTAATGCTGCTCTGGTCCTCCTGGCCAATCTTTAACTCTCTGTTCTTATAATTTGGGAGGCATATCCAGTTTTTTTGACTTAATGCAATGGACTATCCAATACAAGTCAGAGACTGGATGTCATCCACTAGGTTTCCTTATTTATAAAGCTTCAACAATTTGAACAATAAACTGAACTTGACTGTTTTTACTCTTTGCAAAGCCCTGAGATTTGAGATTATTTGTTGTGGATTGGACAAACTGAATTAAAGTCCGTTTTTTATATATATTTTGTGGAAAATCACACATTTGCTTTTATTTCACAATTGAAGCTATTTTAAGATTGTTTACAACATAAAATCCCAATAAAATGCAATAGTTACGGATATAACACTAAAAAATGTGAAACATTTCAAAGATGCAGCATGTGAGCATGTTAGCAAAAATCAGGTCAGTGTGCAGAACTTTGGGACTTGGCAAAAAAAAAAAAAAAAAAAAAAATAGAGTTGAAACATAGCCAAATTCAAGCATTAGCTCCTTTGTCTGAGCTAATGGCCAGCTCACTCAGTAGATGAGTGAGTTATCTTCCTAGTGTCCCTCTTCTTCCTGTATGACGCTGTGTGAGACCACGCCGAAGGTCGGCTCTGATATCTGTTGACGGAAAGCGTTACATTACGGAAGCATGAAAAGTAGTTGGAAGAGTGACAGGGACTTGTTGCTTCAGGAGGGGAAATACACCCAAGCGTGGACAGATTGAGGAGCTTCTATTCTTGTTTAGCGAGTCACTTGGGAGAAAGTGACATTATTCCATGTGACTCCAAGCGGGGGCTGGACATTTGGGCCTCCGAAAGCTTATTCACTGGTGTGATACAAGCATTGATGTTCGAGAGCCAAGAGGCTCATGACAGATTGATGCCACACATTCTGCATCTGATTTAGTCAATCTGTTTGGACGGCAAAGGAGCCAAAAAGCAAAGACGAAGAAGAAGAGAAACAAACGCTGAACTTTTTGGATAGTATTTAGGTGTTTCTATATGCGAGCCAGTGCGTGTCACACACCAACAGACCTCATTAGTGCGCTACGTGAACCCAGGCGGTGCAACTGGTTTTTAACAAGGAGTTCTCAGAAACAAACCATGCTGGTGAAGAAAGATTCATTTCACACTCGATTTGCTCTGGTATGACATCACCAAAGGTTTTGTTTCTTTGTCTTTACCAAGAGCCGATTGGACTCCAAGCTGGCGCCGACATCAGCTCGACGAAGCAACTAAATCAAAGGCTCACAACCGGGCGGACATCAGAGGAGAAATTTTATTACCATCCAGCCCCGAACATGTTTATGCACTGGGACAAAAGAGTGTTGCTTTTTGTGTAGGAGATTACGACAGCACGTCCGTTTTAGGGTCCGAAAATTGGCCGAACAAAACAGAATCAGAAGAAAGTCAACATCTGGATATGGAAACTTTTATCCATTTCACAATAAAAGGGGCTTTAAGAAAATTAAAGCGGTGAAAAGAAATGACTGGGCAACATATATGGAGAAAGAACCGAGTTTGTGTGTAAAGAAGCATACGGAAAACGATCTCACCTCAGAGAAACACGAGTAAAGAAGAGGCATAAGTAGCTCTTCTTGAAGATCTCTACAACTACATTTACACACTTACACAATTGGCACAACACTTGATACGCTTGATGATTGTCTGTGAAAATACAGACTTAGTTTCCACTTTACACTGAACATCTGTAACAGTCAACCCAGTTGTTTTTTTTTTTTTGTCTCTTAAATATGAAACATCTGTTATATATGGCTACATTTAAATTCATTTATTCTGGCACTAAATCAAGGTTAAAAGGCAACAACTTAAGAGCAAGAAAAGCTCAAAATCTTAACGTTAAATATATGAAAATGATCATCAGCTTCTCTGTTGCTCGTCAAAACGGATAATTAAAAGATACAATTTTTGGACACAACAAAAGCCTTTGAAACTAGACGTGTCTGAAATGGTTACGCACTTATAATTGCAGAAAAAAAATACTGGACCTGTGTAAGGTTTTACTATCCCTAGTAGAGCTGTCTGCACCAGAGATAGCTCTAGTAGAGTCATGGCGACATCAGCTGTCGTTTGTGAGCACAAAGTTTCTCATGCGACAAAGAGTTGTTTTATCTCAGACGTTACCACAGATGAAAGCATGAAATGTCTCCAATCTTATTAAATTCCCTTCATGTTCTCCACAAAAATTATTCAGAGCAGCAACTTTTCTCCATGTCTGAGCCAAATGAATGACAGATTTTGTGGCAGCATTTTAAACTTCCCCTTCAGCTGCCATTTGTGGAACTGGATTAAAGTGACTTTTTATGACCACACATGTTGTAAGATAACTAGATTACAGAGTTTTAGTTCCATGACAGATGGGAAGCCCCCTAGGGCTAATTATCTGTAGAAAAACGAGATCCTCAGCTAATTTCATTCATTATCTCTAATTTTTTACGCAACCACTATAAAGCTGTCGACACAGTTGTGAAATGTGTACTTGCTGACACCCATTTGCATCATAGTGACAATGTTGGTCAAAACCTGCTGCAGAGCACTTTTAAATCTTGGAGTAAGGAGCCGGTCAGTTAAGTCTTCGAGCTAATATTTCTGCTGGCTTCCATCTCCTCACTGGCAAATCACTTTGCTTTCCATAAAGCAAAGTTCATAAATCTTTACTTTACGAACTTGCATTCTAGCTGAAGACTTTGGTGATACTCTGATCTTCTTGGGTGGCACATGTGTCAATTATGTGTTCCCTCCGCAACATCATCACCTCCTGGCAAATCCAGCTGCTTTTTGCTCGTTTTCTTTGACGTTGAAATTAATGCAACTATCCAAAACGCAACCGAGAAGAAAAAAAAGTTATAAAAATGACGACATGAGCCCTCTAAAACAAGCACTCTTACAATTACTATGGAGTCTCCATGAGGATAATTAATCCGGCTCGGCACAACTAATGTTTGAGTCATCTAAATAGAGCAGTAGCTCCAGATATTGTGAGAACCAAATGTGAAGTGCTCTAAATTGTCACAACCCCCAACTAGACATCTTCTCCGTTGTTGACTGGCCGCTCATGAGTTTCATTGGCTGTTTGGGAATCAGGAACCACATCAGTGGATGCTGTGATGTCAGCAGCTTCGGCGTCTCCCGTCTGAGTCTCATTGTGGATCGCGCTTCCTTGAGGAGGAGGCGACGCGACCGCTGTTGCGGCACCATTGGTAAAAGTTGCATTGGACGCCCGGGTAGAGTCTCTCGCAGCAGAAGGCAAACTATTTATTCCCTGATTTGTCCTGCTGGGTGAAGGAAGCTCATCTGATTGGTTGGATGTAAATACAAGATCGAATGTTTGGTCTGTAAATAGTTGATTTTTAACAGCTGCTTGGTGACCGCTTGATTGACCGGGAGTACCAAAGGCGCTGTTGTTGTTGTTGTTATTGTTGTTTGCATGATCAGATGAAAAGAGATCTGTTTCAGTTTTAGGATTGACGGCAAGAGTCCACGAGTCCTGGTCAAAGTCTGGCAGCTGGCGAGATGCTTTGGGAACCGGAGCGACCTGATCCAACCCGACAGGCTCACCGGCAACATGGCTGCTGATTGGTGGCTCGTTATTAACCACTGATTGCCAGTTATCAGAGCAAAAGACAGCTGGAATCCTGAAAGTAAAATGAGGAAAAATGTGAATATCATAAAACAACAATACCGCCCGATATGAGAGCTTCTTAGAAATTTATATTTGTGGTAAAGTTTGGGAATTCAAGCATACTCATGGAAAGATAAATCCAAATTTAGTACAAAATTCTCAAGCAACTAGTCTTTTTTTTATTTTTTATTTTTTTTTTTTAGGAATATTTCTTTAGACTGTAAGTTAAGCAAAAGCACCTAAAACAAATCAATTCATCTGAAAATAGTCATGTTCTGAACTATGAATATGCAAAAGGAAAGTTAAGCATTAAAGAACATTTAGAAATCCTTGAGTACTATTTTCACGTCAGAAGCTTACAAGGAGGTTTGGCTCATTAGAAATAAAGCAAAGTGAAAAAAAATTTGAGGTGGTCCAAAACTTTTGCACACTACTGCACCTGAGTAAGAAGTTGAACAGTTTTCATTGTTGTTATTAAAATACAACAGTTGTTATTGAGGTCATGAATAATAAATGCAGACCTGGACATCTGTCTCTGCAGTTCCTGAGCGTGTTGGTTGCCCTGAGCGAAAAATGACGCCTGACCATCCACAAAGTCCGCAAGGCTCCGCATGTGGTTGATCTGAGCAAAGAGACGGGCAACGCGACATTTGACGCTGAATCTTACAGAAACGTTGGCACACGTACTCTGTCTAGGGTTTTTGTTTTAACATACGTGTGTGTTGCTGATTCCTTCGAGAGCCCGTCTTGTGATTTCTGACTGCTGATCGAAAAGACTCTGACAGATCCTCAGCTCCATCTCGGCCTTCGCACACAAACACGACCCGTTAGACGGCATCGTGCACCTTCAAATCAATTACTTTGGTTCTGCGACAATATCTAGAAATGACTTATCTGACTGGTGTTGTCGGATTGAGTAATTTCAGTTTGAATATGGTAGTGTTTTACTTTTATTTATCAGAGTAAAGGTGGCTTTACACAAAAGCAGATTTTTCTTTGCAAAAACGTGGAAACCATTTGTTCTTTTCTTTTCTTTCCATTTTATAACAATCTACCACTTTTTGTTTGTCTATGACATCAAAAATCCCAATGAACTGTGAGGGTGTGGGTCTATTTTCCATCAACCAATCAGTCAGAAGTGGCAGAAGCAGACTATCTGAATGAGCTTAAAGACAGAGATGTTTGTACCTGAGAGATTTCCTGAGCCCATATCTGTTTGGAGAAAGCATAAAAATAACTACGTTAAAGCCCAAATGTTAACGTTTGTCTCTTTTTGTTGTTCACGTTTCTTCAAAAAGAATCGAACCTTAAGCCACTTAACACGCAGGAAGCTGAACATGTAGGAAACGTGAGACAGGTAGTCGTCATCCAACGGGTTCGCATTCAGGTTCTGGCAAAATAAAAAAATAAAGGAGAGACAGAGGTCAAACAAGATGTTACAATGTTACAAGAAAATTGTCACGTTTTTACTTCTAGTATCCCAAACACTTTAGGGTTAAACTATAGCTGCAGCTCACCCTGGCCTCTCTGTCTGCTTCATGGGCTTTCCTCAGCCTGGTCTTGGCTATGTCCAAGTCCAAACGCTTGTTCACCAACATCTTACGCTCATTCTGTTAAAACCATTTACAATGAAACCGGGTCAGACGCTAAACGCCTTACATGGCTGACAGCAAAGGAGAGGTAGTAAGAGATAAGAGGTGCGTTTCACCTGGATGGCTCTGTATTCACCCTCCGTGAAACTCTTCAGCGGGGTGAGAAAGTGAATGTTTGTGGATTCTGCAAACTTCCTCTCGGCTTCTCCCAGCTGCTTCTGGGCCTCGCCGAACCTTATCAGAGCTGTTCCTGTACGCAGACATTCAGTGGATAAAAACAAAGCAAAAAAATAATTAAAAAATTAGAAGGCAAACCACAAAAAACAAAAAAGAATCTGCAACAGTTGTTTGTACAAGTGTGCAGACTTTACTAATGTTAATAAAAAATAAGAGCGAAACTGGGCAGAGCCTGACATCAACACTGATGGAGATAAAGAGATTTTCTTTCCCAAAAGAAACATCTGAAATCTCCCAAAACTCTGAGGAGAAAGGAGTTATGGTTTGATAAAACCACATTTAGCTTTTTGATCACAATTGCAAATGGGAAATTTGGTACAAAGACAACAGTAAATGTCACTATCCAACAGGAGAACGACTTCCCCTAGACTGAGCTCAGAAGTAAACCTGACAGAAAATCTGAGTCATCACCTGATGAGGAGTGGGTTTCCTCGCAGTCTGGTGGATTTGGGAGAACCTTTGAAAGGTAAGTCGGGGAAATGCAGCCAAATCAAGATGCAGGAAGCTGATAAACTCCTGCCAAATCAGACTGAATGCTGAAATTGAATCAAAGCCTGCTTTATAAGTTTGTACGCTCGTGCAACCAGGGTGTTGCAGCTTTATTTTTTTTTTTTTCCAAAATATTTTTCTCCCTTTCCGAGTTACTGAAATTGTACTGCTTCAAATGCCAAAACCTGACATTTTAACTTAATACAAACTTTAAAAAAACCCCACACAAAAAAAAAAAAACGTATCATCTGATAACGTATCATATCCACCTAAAAAGGGTAAAAGCTAAGAAGGCAAAAGGTGCAAACACATGCAGACTCACCGTAGGGTGTGTTCGATCCGATCTCCAGCCCAGCCTGGGTCATTTGATCCCCCAGTAACTCGTGCGCTCGGGGTCGAGGCGTGGCGCTCCATTCCAGATGCTCGTACAGTCGGTCCTCTAATCGAGCTCCTGTATGTCAGAGGTTAAAAAAAACACACACACACAAAAAAAAAACCCATTAGAAATTATTTATTCTTATAGTTCTTTTTATAGGTACTGACATTTAGGACACTTAACTATAAATAACCTGATTGGCATACGTCTGCTTTCCTGTTTCTCCATAAGAACAATAAAGATCTGCAGTGGAGCCAAAGGCTCTCTGGAAATTAGAATTGACATTTTATGAAGCTTTGTCCTTAATGCTCCTGGCAGCCCAACAGGCCACTTTACTGATAGAAAGCAGACCACGTCCACTTATAACTCTATTAGCTGAAGAAATTGAAAGCAAAAAAAAAAAAAAAAAAAAAATTTCTATTCCTCTACATGAGTCAATTACAGTCAGACCAAACATACTAATTCAAAGAAGATGCAATACGGTAGAGGGCAAACACTGATTCACAGGCCTGCAGGAGGATTATATAGACTCCAATTATATTTATGATTTAAGGACTCGATGTTTAAAAGTACATGTATGTTTTCTTTTCCTGACACATCAAAGAAAAGATGGGTCATTTAGCTCGAGTCTAATTTCTCATGAAGTAAATATATTGCTGTTGGCTGTTTAGATATTTGCGTCAAATCAGCACTGAACATGTTTTGTTTTCGAATTTTATTCCTGATCACGTAGATTTCATTTTTTAAACAAAGTGATGAATCCTCTATACATTATCATCATAACTCATTTTTTAGTGGCAAATTTATCTAACACTTTTTCGTCTCCTGATCACTTCATGCATTTTTATGTTGCTGCTGAGCTTACTCACAGGATGGATGAATGGATTAATAAAGTAACCTGGTGGGGTTTTATTTTGTTTGTTTTTTTAGGTTCACTGTGAAAAGGGGTATCTTTTTTTTTTTTTTTTAGTTGATTGGAATTTGGTGGAAACAGAGATGTTGGCCCTGAGCGCCCTTCTTGATAGGACCACCAAATAATATACACAATAAATTAATAATTTCTCACCTAGACTAGGTTGCAGTAGCACCTCGGTTTGAGAAATGATTGAGTCCGTCCAGGTCTTGGTGGCGTCCGCCTGAGCCAGGAGTCCCTCCAGCCCGGGGTCCAGCTCGGTCTTATCCGCCTGGCCGAGGCTCTCTCCGGTGTACTGGAGCGATATGACAAGACAACCTTGTTTTCGACAGCAACGCGAGACTCAAATTTATTTTAATAAAGCAGGCGGACATGTAAAGCGCTGTTTTTCTTTATTTACCTGGACAGCTCGGTTAATGAACTGGCCAGCATCCACAGCCAGTCGCGTCAGGTCCATGACGGAGTCCTCAAGGTCGGCCGTCGTCTCCGGGGAGGCGTGGCGGCGGAGGGGGCACCGAGTTAACCCCGGTCACTAAAGCAAATGTTCACCTCCAAGAGCCACTCGCTGACCCACGCATCGCCTCAGCCCGCTAACACCTTTGCAAGCACGGCAAGCCGTTGAGATACTCAGCCTGGCTGGGAGAAAAAACGTCGCATCCGGCTATTTACAACACGTTAATATACGGGGTATTATTGATTCTAACGGCTTGCCATACATAGAGACTGACAGAGTGACGTCGGAGATGTTAAGAGGCTCCACACGCACCTGCTCCCTTGTTTACCGCCGTCAGTATTTACCTATTATCCACTTGTCTCCTAAGGGTCAATAAAGGACGCTCAGAAAAGTGACTGGCGTTGCTGTAACGTCAGGTTTTTAATTTCTGTCTCTAAAGGACGCTATTGTTTCATTATAGTCCGGGATAACTTAAATAAATGCTTCGGACAGCCATTAAAATGTCAGACGATGTACCATCATTTAGCATGCGCTAAACTGTTTACACCGACGTAAGCATGACGAAAGTCCTGAGACAATGTAATGACGTGAAAGATTAAATTAGACTTCCTGTTCAAGTTCACAATAAAAGCATAATCTCTCCACAAAATGTTGGACTTGCTTATAAGTATAAAATTACACATGGAATGCAAAACAAAACATAAATTTGAAAAGGAGAGAAAAAACTTTTAAGTCAACAGCACTTCAACACAAAAATACCTTACGCATTCTAGCTCAAAGTAAGCTGCAAAAACAGCCATGAGTTAACTAAAAGAAGAAATACCATAATAACAAACACAGCGACTCTCTGAGTGTCTGAACCCATAATGGAGACTGCTCCGCAAACAAAATTTCAGCATGCAACCTCACTGCCCTGCGGTAGCCGTGCCGAGTTTTCTTGAACCTCTGAGCGCTAGCAGCACAGAAACAGAGAGAAGGGAGGATTAACTCAATCAGCTGACAGTCTGAGGTGCATCAGAGGATCTAAGGAGGGTTAAAAGATTAAAAGACGCACTCAATCACACTTACCAACAGAAGATCTTTTTATTACAAACGGACAACAGTTTATAAAAAAAAAAAAAAGGGAACGTCAACAAAACTGAAACTACTCAAAAAGTGTTTTATGATAATTAACTTATCTGTCTTTCTACAGGTACGGACCCCAACCCAAATACATCTGACAGAGCATTTTGTCATCTGTGGCTTCCTGGATGAGGTAGTGCACATGTCCCTCTATTGACAGAGGGAGGCCAAGCACTTTATTCCTGCTCTTTATCACCCCCTGGAGACGTTGCTCGATGTCACACACGTGTGTTTTGGCCTGACAGTGGCAGATAGGGCATAAATTAACAGCTTGAAGCAGAAACAAATCATTTGTATAAGACAATATCTAATTAGGAAAAAACAAACAAACAGACAAACCTTTTCATTAACTATCTCGCCTGTCTCATTGGCCTGGGTTTTCACCAGGCCTTTGGATGGCTTGCTCCACTCCACCAGCGGGTCATGAAGGAAGGTCTTCAGCACACTTAAGGAGTAATAGCAAACAATTATATGACGAAAGTGTTATTTTTTGAATATGAACACTAAAGGAAAACGAGGTTTTGGCAACCCCAATGTATTAAACTGTGTCTACCTCATGAGTGGCTCTCTCTGGTCTCGCATCAGCCTCAGTGTGACCTCACAGGCCTGTCTAAACAAGCCCTCAGTACCCATCGGCCCCATAGCATGGACCATGTTTTGGGTAAGTCGGAATGGAACTACCTCGGGCACGTCAAATGTCTCCCCCTAGAGGACACAAAGAGAATGGCGCATGTAAAGCAAAAGGGAGGGAAAAGGGACCAAAACACACAGCAGATACAGTTCCTCAAAGAAGTGTTGATACTTCTAATCTGAATGACTAACCTTGTTGAAGAGGCAGTTGAAGTCGACGTGGACACATTCCCCAGTGAAAGAGTCAAAGAGGATGTTTTCTCCATGGCGATCGCCAAGTCCCAGGATGTAGCCGACCATGGACATCACCGCAGTGGAGCGGCAGTACGCAGAGCGACTGCTGTACCTGGGTATGAACATGTGCAGACATAAAAAAAAAACAAAAAAACAAGTACTGCATGTAATATATCCCTCCGTGCTCATGCAGTGGAGTAGTGGCATACCATGATTCAGGGTCGGGAAACGTTTGGAGGAACCACTCATAAAAGACGGGCGGATGCTGAGCGCAGAGCACCTCCTTGTGGATTCGTAGTTTTTCCTCAAAGGCAGCCGTTTTGGGTAAAATAAGCTTCCTCAGCTCTTTACCCGACAGGTGGACGCCTAGAGAAACACATCGTCAAAATCCCTTCAGCTGTTCCAAGTCTACAAATCTTTTACACTTGGTTTCACAAACTCTACAATGCCTTACAAAGCCTTTCAACTTTTTCATGCTTTCAGAAATTATTTTCCCAAATATTTTAGGAAGAAAAAAAATTTAAAAAAAATCCAGAAATTGTGTGGAGGATTTGCAACCACAGCCCATAAGTCGATGAAGTGTTTGATATTCGCGGATTCACTTTTTCAACAATTTTGCTGTGGAACGCAACTCCAAATTATTCACAGGAAACATTCAATCGCTATTAAAACAACAGCGGCGTTTAACGGCGAAGTGAAATCGCACACAAACAGCAGCAGACATAAACATAAACACCTCTCTCTTTGTACAGCTTGGTGAGGATGTGTCGCAGCCCGGCGGTGTGGTTGACCCACTCGATGATGCCGCACTCCTCGTTGAGCGGAATCACGGCGTAGGTGCGGATGTGCAGCTCCCTGCGCCTCGACTCGGCGTCCTTACGGAGACACTGCTCGCAGAAAGTACAACGATAAGTGGGGGGGACGTCATTACCAGAAACCATGTTTTATCAGTCAGACACACAACCTTGTTGATGAGACAGTTGAACTCCATGAGCCGGCAGTCTTTCCTTAGATCATCTTTAGGTTTACACATCATGGTGTAGCTCCGCCCATCCGAGCCCTTCAGACTGATCTTCTTGGGCTTCTGCAAGGAGGCTAAAATCTCCACCTTATGTGAACACACACAAACAGATCAGTTTAAAAAAAACAAAACAAAAAAACAATAAAAACATTATATTAGGATGTAACTTTCACACAATAAAGTGGGGAGAAATGTCTGGAAATACAAACATTTTTACACATCTTAATTTTCCCAAACTTTTCCAAAAACTGGAATTTATCTATATTGGAAACGGTTCGTGAAATTCAGACCCCTCCTCTCCCCCCCACCCCCCATCTCTCCGACTTACGCTGTCTTCGAAGCCGTCCAGGTACGCCCAGTGTCCGGGGAAGGCGTCATGCTTTGTGCTCGCCCCGCCAGTAGAGGGCAGCGTCGGGATGAGGACGGACTGCAGCGGGATGAGGATCTGGCTGAAGGTGGACTCCTCCACCAGCCGCTTCAGCTGCTTGAAGTGAACGCCCATGCTGAGGGTGGTGCTGTTGCCGTCCACCTGAATGAGCGACACGACCAAAACACAAGTGTATTTTATAAAGTAGGACATTTTTTTTCTCCTCTTTTAGGGTAATATGAACATACAGTTAACCAAATCGTCGATCCCTCTGGACTGCTGCCTAATCTTGGGAGTTAATTTTATGAATCATCACTTCCAAGTGCAATCTCATTAGCCCTAATTTTTTGCATCCTGAGTGGACATTTTTACCGGCTTGTTGCAGAGCTCCAGCAGCTTATCGGTGAGTCTGTTTGCGTCTCCAATGAATTTCTCCAGAGGCTTTTTAAGGCTGATGGCGTTCTTAAGAATCTGATTGCAGCGGTTCATACGCATGGGGTAAGAAGACTGAAACACAAAAAGCACACATGGGATTTTTCCAATGCAGGCAATTAAATAGAGTTGCTGTTCAGACAACAGCAGCAATAACAACAACAGTAATGTACCAGGAAAAAAACAGGAACAGGAGATACCAACCAGTCCAGACCAAGGAGCACGACAGGGAAGAAGGAATATTTGTATAACATTTAATTTCCCTCTGGGAATAATAAAAGTATTTTTGATTTGAATTAAAATAAAAGGAAAGAGAGGAAGGAGGAGAGGCGTAGAACCTAAGGAAACCATGAAGAACACATAAATGGGAAGAAAGTAAGAAAGAACAAAAGGAATAGAAGAAAAAAAGCAGAAAGAAGGAAAGAAAAAACATAACAGACTCAGAAAGAAAAGGACAGACGGACAGATAGAAAGAAATATAATTTCACACTTCCAGACTGAATAAAATCCCTGAGATGTTGATGATCTCTACACTAGAAGATGCCGAAGTCTTGATGAAGGAATTCTGCTGACACTGTAAATATCGATACTTAATGTATTTTGTAATTCAAGATGTTTAAAACCCAATTTTTACTGCTGTACTTCCAGCAGATTCATCTAAAAATAACATTCTCTCACTCACTCTCAAAACTTTTATCCACAACTGTATGTCAGATTATTTTATCAGGATAAGGTGAACGTCTGCCAACACTAAGGAAAACTAAGCAGGTTTCCAATTACAAAATAACACAGCATCTGAGTGAGTCTGAGATAGTTAAGAGGGAAAAAAAAAAAAAAAAAAAGGAAAACACACAAAACACAAGCCAACCTTAGATACGGCAGTCATCAGCCACATGGCCTGCTGCGGGTACGCGAGGAACACTTTGGAGACGATTTTCATGAGGACCTTGAAGACCTCGTCGCTGGAGTGACACACCCTGGAGATGAGCTGGGAGAAGGCGGTGAGGAACTGGTAGGGCGCCAAGTTGGAGCAATGCTCCTCCATCACCGCGTTGATCTTCCCGAGCTCCTGCCGCATCTGACGGTCGGCTCGTCCGGCTGTGGAGGACAGACACGGACGTTGGGGAACCGTTTCCAGTCCGACCGGCCCTGAAGGCTGGACCGGACCTGCTCACCTTTCTCACAGTCGCACACTTTAGCTCCAAAATCCAACCAGAGGGAGAGCATGCGAGGCATCGCCTGGTAGATGTACTGGTTCCCAAACTGCAGGGCTCTGACGGGAGACGGGTTACGCCGTCAGAAGGCATTTTGAAGGATGTAAATACGCAGAAAGCACTAGAACCTACTTTCCGAAGAAGGTGACGATGTATCGGATGACGTTCCCCTGTTTCTCCAGCTTGTTATCCGTCACCATGGGCATCACTTTGTCATAGTACTTTGCTAGGTAGAAGTTCCCGTCCTCCCATTCTGGGAGAAGGTTGGTCACATCCTACAGACCAAATAAATGAACCAGTTCAAGGTAAAACAAAACAAACAAAAACAAACAGATTAGTAAGTGAAATCAACTATTATTATAGTTGTGGACATAATAAACACTACAAATAAAAGATACGGGGTGAAACCTTGTACGCCTTCATGATGGCGTTGGACTCGAAGTTTGCCGTCTCCTCCATGAAGCGTCCGACCAGCAGCATGGCCTTCCCTTTGATCTGCAGGCTGCGAGGGTCGGTCAGGAGCCGGTCGTCTGGAAAGCACTGGGCCACGCCCTTCTGGAGGACGATCAGCGCCTGGTGCACGTCCCCCTGATCGCAGGCACACACAGAGGGGAGGTTTCTGGTTGCAGAGTTGGTTTAAAAAACAGCAACATCGAGTAAAAAAAAAACAACAAAAAAAAAGCACATCAGAGACGTCAGGGATATGGATTCTGGAACCTTCTCTGAAAACGGGAACGACTTTGAAACTGCCAAGACATGGGCTGAACTCTAGTGTATAACATTTTGAGTTGTTGGTGCCACTATAACGTCAGTCCGTTCACTTAAAGACTTGAGGTTTATATGGACAACAACCTTGAGCACAGTCAGAGCTGCGGCGGACTGGTTTGGATCAAAGAATGTTAACGTCTGGGAAAAATCGCAACCTGACTGAACTTGAGC